TTATTTCCTAACAGAGAGGCAGTCCTTCGTCCATCTTACCTCACCAGCTAGCATAAAAGGAAAAACAGGTCCTCAGTAAATATGTAAGTGAAAATGTTACATGTTATTGGATGTCTGCCCTCTGGATGTTATTACACACTTAAAAAATAAAAAAACAAAAAAAAAACCTCATGTCTTTTTTTTTCTTTTTTGAAACAGAGTTTTGCTCTTGTAGCCCAGGCTGGAGTGCAATGGCACAATCTTGGCTCACTGAAACCTCTGCCTCCTAGGGTCAAGCAATTCTCCTGCCTCAGCCTCCGGAGTAGCTGGGATTACAGACACCTGCCACCACGCTGGGCTAATTTTTGAATTTTTAATAGAGATGGGGTTTCACCATGTTGGCCAGGCTGGTCTCAAACTCCTGACCTCAGGTGATCCACCTCCTCGGCCTCCCAAAGTGCTGGGATTACAGGTGTGAGCCACTGCGCCCGTCCTATGTTTTGTTATTAATGACACTATGGTCCTTGCCCTTATCCAATTAATTGTAAGGAAATAATTTCTAAAATATTGAACAGGCCCATGAAGAGTTAAGATTTGAGAAAAATACAGGCTTTCGGATTAGAGCTAGGTTCAAACCGCAAACTCAGCTTTCTCTAACAATGTGACCTAGGGCCAATGAGGCTATATCCTCATTAATATGTAATTAAGTACAACATTGTTTTAAGGAATAGAAGTAACATAAGAAAAGTGCCAGGCCAGGCACAGTGGTTCATGCCTGTAATCCCAGCACTTTGGGAGGCTGAGGCAGGATCACTTGAGCCCAAGAGTTCAAGATCAGCCTAGGCAACATAGCAAAACACTGTCTTACAAAAAAAAATAAAAGTTAGCTGGGCATGGTGGCACAAGCCTCTAGTCCCAGCTACTCAAGAGACTGAGGCAGGAGGATCACTTGAGCTTAGGAATTTGAGGATACAGTGAGCTAGGATCAAGCCACTACACTCCAGTCTGGATGACGGAATGAGATCCTGTCTCTTATGAAAAAAAAAATGTATTTCCCTCTAAGCTGTTAATTGTATTCCAGATGATAAATAGTCATCTGTAATATGATAATCCTATTACAACAATTACTATCAGATAAAGTATAATTCTGAATTAAATCATTTTTATTTTGCCAATTTGTAAATTTAATGTATAAAACCAAACCTGATCTTGCTGATTCTTAAAAAGCCTGCAATGTTTCAGGTAGTCATTATTGTTCACAAGTCCCACTTAGGAGCAAGATTCTGTAGTTTTCTTCTCCTTAGCTTCCTGTATTCTTATTGCATATGTTAACTAAAAATCATAAGATCTATAGATTTAGAAGAGAGACTCTGTTTCTTAAATGAATGCAAGGTGGCCATTGTGCAAGCTGAGAAGCATACATCCAACCAAGACCAGATACACTTTAGAGGAGGAGTTGAGGTAGGAGCTTTAGGCTTAACAGGTTGACTAAACATACATATTCAACGTTAGAGGAGCAGCTGTGAATATTCATAACGGTGATCTTGATATATGCATATTAAAAATGCATATTTAACATACAACCCATATTCACTTTGGGGTGGAAACTTAACATTTAAATGTATTACAATTAGGTCCTATACATCAAGACTTCTTTTCAGGACAGGAAGGTATGGAAGCATGTAATCACTGTAAACTGGCCAGAATTAGTCCATGGTCAGCGATCTTCTTATCAGAAGAAAGTTACTGAAATCAATGAGAGCTGTAGTTATGGCTGGTGGAACAGTTTGTGAGTGTCTGGTGGTGGATGAGCTGCAAATTGTTTTAATACTGCGAGGCCAGTGTTTGTTTAGCTGCTTTAGAAAATCTTTGCAGCATAGTGAGAACATAGTTTATTCCTTAAGTGTAGGGATGCATGACTTTTAACCCATTGGCTTAGGTCCTGTTTATAATCTGGTATCACTGTCATGGAGTCAATTCTGTCAGTTTTATGCTTTTTTTTTTTTTTTTTTTGAAACGGAGTTTCACTCTTGTCACCCATGCTGGAGTGCAATGGCACTATCTGGGCTCACTGCAACCTCCGCCTCCCGGGTTCAAGCAATTCTCCTGCCTCCGCCTCCCGAGTAGCTGGGATTACAGGTGCGTGCCACTAAGCCCGGCTAATTTTTGTATTTTTAGTAGAGACAGGGTTTCACCATGTTTGCCAGGCTGGTCTTGAACTCCTGACCTCAGGTGATCCATTTGCCTCGGGCTCCCAAAGTGCTGGGATTACAGGTGTGAGCCACCGCGCCTGACCTCTATTTTAACGTTAAGACCAGTCACCTGCCTCCGCCAAATCACAAAAGGGAGAGGGTATAACCAGGTCCGTCTGACCTCCCATCCCGTTATGCCTGGGAAGTCAGTTGTTAAGATTTTTCTGGCGTCCCTTTGGCCACAAGGGGGTCTGTTCAGTTGTGGGAGTTTTAGGGTTTTAAATTTACAGACCTCGAGGAGGGTAACAAGATATACGTGTAAGGGAATAAGAGAAAGGTACCCGAGTCTGAGTTAGTGCTTACTTCACAGTGTAACTCACACGGCTTGCTAGGGACGCCTCGTCCCAGGACGCAGCGCCACGCGTTTTCCAATCAGCACGGGGCACTGCATTCCTCCTAGATCTCTTTCTTTCAGTAGAAACCTTTTAATAATAAATACTTCTTACATTGCTTTACAGTTCACACTTGCGGTCATTATTTCAGTCGAGCTTTTCAACAGCTCTGTGAGATAGATATTACTTCTATTTCGGAGAAGAGGGAACAGAGCCCTTAAGCCACAAGACTCATACATCCGGACCCTATCACCACTCCGAATCTTAAGCTCCGCGGATGACCGATGACCGACGGCCCAGGACCGCTGCCCCAGCCGTTTCCCCAGATAACCCATCTGCCTTGGGTTTCGTTTTCGCTCGGCCCAGTTAGCCGCAACCAGCAGCCATCTACCTGCTTTACCCAAACCAGGAAAACCACAGAAACGCAAGTGCTCAGCCAGTCTCTTCCACGCCCGGGAGCGTAGAGCTTACAGACCGAGGCCGCCCAAGTCCCCTCACCCCAAGGGGTACCCAAGAACCCCAACTTGGCATAGTTTGGCTAAGGCCCCAACGATCGAACTAAGTAGCCACGGAAACTCCCCACGGCCAGCTCGCCCGCCAGGAGCTCACAAGCCGCTCTAGCCGAGCTCAGAGGAGGCAGTCTCGTTGCTCCCAGCTTGACGTCATCGGCGGGCGCCGCAGCTCCGTGGCGGGCACGCGCAGCCGAGAAGATGTCTCCGACGCCGCCGCTCTTCAGTTTGCCCGAAGCGCGGACGCGGTTTACGGTGAGCTGTAGGCGGGAGGGCGCAGGCCCGACCCGGCGCTATGCTTTGCCCTCTTCTCCCTGAAATTACTCGAATTTTGCCCTGGGGTAGAGCGAGACAGAAGCGTGTCCGCCTCAGCATCCGCTCTCGGCCCCGTCGGGGGCTGAGGGGTAGGGAAAGACGCCCTACCCGCCTCTTCGTTGCGGGCTGGTCTGTCCGCCTCCGCCCACCCGCCGGCTAGTCCCCGGGCCCCACGTTCTGGGTGCCTGGGCACCCCGCGTGGAGAGCCCGCCTGCAGACTGCTTCTGGTCGGGCCAGCCCCTCAGCTCGCTTAGCGGGGCAGGTGTCTCCAGAAGTAGAAGGGGAGCTGCTGAAGGGTAGGGTGGAAGTGGTTTCAGTCCAAAGACCTGGCTCCCGCCCCAGTCTTCTGAGCTGCCAAGTGATGTTCCCGCCGTGTGTTCACCACCCTCTAACCCTCGGTATCTCATTCCGAAGAGATCGATGAGGAGATCCTAAACGGGAAAAGGTAGATAGATCACCTTGGGAAGGGTAACCAGATGTTGTTTTATTTTTGCTCAATGTGGAATGGTGGTTTTGAGCATTTGGGAAGCACTTGACAGAGCACTTTCTCATTTAACTATTAGAGTAACATTGTGAAATAGGCTAAGTTGATATTCCTGGTACATGAGATAGAAACTGATACTCCCCCAAAAGTTGTGACTTCACTGGTCTTTCTGACATTAGACCCTCTATTCTTTTTATGTCGCTCGTCACAGCAAATAAGTATGAAGAACACTTTTAAGTTTCTTGACTCTGTTCGTCTCTAGCATTTGCATCAACATTTCATGGCATTCCACTACTCAGATATTCAGCTAAGCTTGGGTAGTTATAGGGATGCCAGGATGAAAATTCTGTGAAAGAAAAATTGATTCTTTGTAGTAATTAGTTTTCTTGTTTGCAGGTTTTTTTTTTTTTTTTTAATACAGTGTGAGGTGTGTTTTTTTAATGGATTATATTTTCCATATTTCATTATAATCGTTTTGTGTGCAGTTTGCTGCAATCTCTGGTGCTTTGAAAGCCTGCTAAGAGTAACTGTTAGGACTATTCAAGATCATATTAGCACCCGGCTGCGGTGGCTCACGCCTGTAATTCCAATACTTTGGGAGGCTGAGGCCTGCAGATCACCTGAGATCAGGAGTTCAAGACCAGCCGGGCCGAGATAGCAAAACCCCGTCTCTACTAAAATTACAAAAATTAGTCGGGCATGGTGGATGCCTGTAATCCCAGCTATTTGGGAGTCTGAGGCAGGAGAATCACTTGAACCTGGACAGCGGAGGTTGCAGTGAGCCAAGATGGTGCCAGTGCACTCCACCTGGGCAACAGAGGGAGACTCTGTCTCAAAAAAAAAAAAAAAAGGGATCATTGAATTGGAGATTAACCGCTTCCCAGGCTTCTTGTGAAATACAGATTCTGACTCAGGAATGGGGCCTGAGATTCTGCATTTCTACCAGCTTCCTAGGTGATGCCACTATAGCTACTTCTGGTAGTAAAAATCTACAACAGCTCTCTTATTTAACTGGTGATGAAAATGAAGCACAAAGAGATAAAGGGATAGGCCCCAAATTACTGAGCCTGTTAGTGGCAGAGCAAGGAATGGACACATCCAGGATAAGTCTAATTCCTGTGAGGTAATAAGATGACTTTCTAAGTGTATGTGAGTGTTCATAGAATGAATGACTTTACAATATTTTTGTGTTTAAGTTATGATTAAGACAATCTGCAGATTGTCAGCACAGTGTTGTTCAGTGCTACGTGTCAGGGACTGAACAAGATACCTAGAGAAGGCAAGACCTGACATGGGTGTGGGAGAATGGATAGAATTTGGACGAACAGATAGGAAGAACAACATGGCTGTGTGAATACACTAGAATGAGTTTAATAGAAAATGATGAAAAGTGGCTGGTGCAAACTATGTGTTAGGGAGTATTGGAAAATAAGGTTGGGTAGATTGGGATAACATTATCAAGGACCTTCAGGGAGCTATAAAGCTTCAAAATCAAAACATGGAATTAAGGAGCCATTTGGAGATTTTTTTTTTTTTTTTAAGCAGAATACTCTTATGAATGTGATATTTAAACAGATAGTAGGAGGGAAAACTAGAATGAAAACGTCCAGTGAGGAAGCTTTTGCTAGATTTAAAGTGACGAGGATCTGTATGATTACTTGGAATTGAATTGGCATTGGAATAAGGATTACTGAGAGAATGACTGATAGGTAATTATTCCCAGGTATAAGCATTTTTTAGTTAGAAAGATACACTATCGGTAGTCGGCAAAGCCTGAGTCCTGTGCTGTTGCTCTCCTCCCTGGCCAGCATGACCTTCACCACTTGCTCCACCTTCTCAACCAACTACCGGTCCGTGGGCTCCGTCTGGGTGCCAAGCTATGGCGCCCGGCCGGTCAGCAGTGCGGCCAGCGTCTATGCAGGCACCGGGGGCTCTGGTTCCTGCACCTCCATGTCTCACTGCACCAGCTTCCAGAGCGGCATGGGGGTCGGGGGCCTAGCCACGGGGATGGCCGGAGGTCTGGCAGGAATGGGAGGCATCCAGAACGAGAAGGAGACCATGCAAAGCCTGAACGACCACCTGGCCTCCTACCTGGACAGAGTGAGGAGCTGGAGACCGAGAACCGGAAGCTGGAAAGCAAAATCCAGGAACACCTGGAGAAGAAGGGACCCCAGATCAGAGACTAGAGCCATTACTTCAAGACCATCAAGGACCTCAGGGCTCAGATCTTCGCAAATACTGTGGACAACGCCCACATCGTTCTGCAGATTGATAATGTCCGTCTTGCTGCTAATGACTTTAGAGTCAAGTATGAGACAGAGCAGGCCATGCACCAGCCTGTGGAGAGTGACATCCATGGTCTCTGCAAGGTCATCAATGACACCAATGTCACTCGGCTGCAGCAGGAGACAGAGATCGAGGCTCTCAAGGAGGAGCTACTCTTCATGAAGAAGAACCATGAAGAGGAATTAAATGGCCTACAAGCCCAGATTGCCAGCTCTGGGTTGACTGTGGAGGTAGATGCTCCCAAATCTCAGGACCTCACCAAGATCATGGCAGAAATCCGGGCTCAATTTGACGAGCTGGCTCGGAAGAACCGAGAGAAGCTGGGCAAGTACTGGACTCAGCTGATTGTGGAGAGCACCACAGTGGTCACCACACAGTCCTCTGAGGTTGGAGCTGCTGAGATGACACTCACAGAGCTGAGATGTACAGTCCAGTCCTTGGAGATCGACCTGGACTCCATGAGAAATATGAAGATCAGCTTGGAGAACAGCCTGAGGGAGATGGAGGCCCCCTACGCCCTGCAGATGGAAGAGCTCAACTGGATCCTTCTGCACCTGGAGTCAGAGATGACACAGACCCGGGCAGAGGGACAGCACCAGGCCCAGGAATACGAGGCTCTGCAGAACATCAAGGTCAAGCTGGAGGCTGAGATCGCCACCTACCGCCGCCTGCTGGAAGATGGTGAGGACTTCAGTCTTAGTGATGCCTTGGACAGCAGCAACTCCATGCAAACCATCCAAAAGACCACCACCCGCCGGATAGTGGATGGCAAAGTGGTGTCTGAGACCAACAACACCAGAGTTCTGAGACGTGAGGCCAGCAGAAGCAGGGGACCCTTTAGGGAGTGGGAGGCCAATGAAAAGTTCAGAGGTTAAAAAAAAAAAAAGGTATACTATCAATGAATGATATATTTTTCAGTAAATAACAAGCAAAATTGTTACAATGATTTGCCATTTTAATTTTTTTCTAGAAGTCTACCAGAGAGGCCTTGAACATCAAAAACATCAAGCCATTGTTAAGTACCTTCAGCCAGGTACCTGGCAGGTAAGGCATTGATATCTATGAAAAATACTCGCCTGAATCTTTATACAAACCCTGAGCTGTTTGAAAAATGAGGATGTCTTTTGTTTTTAATAGTGAAAATGAAAAAAAATGTACCCTTGATCAAGCTTTCAGAGGTGTTCTAGAAGAAGAAATTGTAAGTATGTTTTTCCATTGTTAAAATTTTGCTGACAAATTAGTAAACCATGTTATTTTAAAAAATTGCTTTTTTTTTTTTTTTTAGCAAATAAAGATTTTAAAAATTGCTTATTTTCTTAGAATGGATATTTAAACGTCTTTTTCTACAGGTTAAGCTTTCTGCCTTGTAAAAGCTGACTTGATGACATTATATGAGTTCTGTCATAATTATTTAGATACCACAGGTACATTTTCAGGTTTTGGTTTAATAAATGACAGGAGCCCTCTCCAAGTGAGAAGAAAAGTTGGCATGAAGTCTTAGTGAGGAAGAACTAGAGGTGAAGGTGGGCTCTCTCGCTTTGCTCTATAAACAGTGACATATCCTGTAGTGGCGTGAAAGGTCTAGTTCAAGAATATTTAGCTTAGGAGCTGGGATTCCATTCCCGCATTTTCCTGTGACATCCTCCTCATCAGTAAGCTTACATAAATAACTAAGGCCTCCCCAGCTTCAGTAGAGAAATCGAACCATGAAAAATCTGAATTTATTTACCAATAATGGAGCACCTGAATGAAAGGAAAAGTTTCAGCAGTTTATTCTTGATCAAGCAAAGGCTGGGTCCCCAAAAGCTAGACTCGCTTCTATTGGCCAAAATACGATGTCCCTTCCTCTCAGACAAGTCTGGTTCAAAAATAATTCTTTCCTTTTCTTCAGACTTAGTCACTTTTCCATTGTGAGGCATTGGGCAAGTTATTTTCCATTTTTGTGCTTCAGTTTCTTTTGTAAGAGGGGAAATACCATTCTTTCAGTATCTTTGTGTGAAACAGCACTTAATGAACACTCAGTAAATGCTGGTTATTATGATTTTATAGAACTTAAGCACTACCTCCCTTCCATTAAAACCCTCCCTCAGATGCATGGGTGCACTAGTAGTTAGTTTCCCTAGCCCTGCCTTTCCCCTGTACCACTGGCTGAGTTATGGCTTCAGCACTTCTGTCCTTGAGTAGCTTGTAGCCTTCATCTTCTAACCATTTTCCTGAGACCATTGGATTTTGAGTGAGTCACCTACCTATTACTTGACATACTTTTGCAACTGATTCTATATATTAGTGTTAAATTTTTGTAACTTCGTATTAGAAAATATTATCTTCCATAAGAAATACTGTATTCCGTATTTGTGATAGTCAATTTAATGTCAGAGTACATGTTTTAACTATTATCGAGTTAGTCTGGACTCCTGCACCTAAATTAAATTGTTTCTCCTCTGTTGGTAGATAAATCATTCATCATGTGAAAACGTTTTAGCAATTATTTCTCTTGCTATTGGGGGAGTAACTGAAGGTAAGTATGGTTCTGTTTTGTTTTTCAAAGTAATCTTGGACATGACATGCTTTATTTAAAATGTCTTCTCCCCATACTTCTCCACCTATTTGATTTAGTTTATTCTTCAAGTTCTGCTTGACTTCCTGCTTTGCCAAGAAGTTGTCCCAATTCAATTAGTTCACTCTTATTTCTCGTCTCTATTATACAGTGCACATTTTGGCACTTTCTTTGTTCTCCAGTTGTTTTGTTCATTCAGTAAATTTTTATTGAGCATCTACTATGTGCCTGGTACCGAGCTAGGACCTGGAGATTTAATGGTGAATAAAACATATTCCCCTGGCCATATGGAGTTAGTAGGAGAAATGTATGTGTGCCTTGCTACGGTGTAAGTACTGTGGTCGAAGTGGTAATGAAGTGTGGTTAGAGGGAGTAGAGTCAACATGGCTCTCTAAACTTCAGTCTAAAAGAATCAGGAAAGATTTTAGAAAGGAACACGAGAATTAGAATGTGAGGTATGAAGAGTTTGTTAGACAAATTAACAAGGGAATAGCTAGAGAATTGTGTATAGCAGGAGGAGGAGAGGACAATGAGAATGGTGAGGAAAGAAGCAGGTTAGGTCCGTTTGTAGAGGGCATTGTGTGCCATACTAAAGAGCAGCTGCGGATGAATGATTCCATTTGAAGTGACTGTTGGCAGGAAAACTGGGCAGGGGCCTGTTAAAATGGCCATAAGGGATAGTTTTAGGAGGCACTGGGTAAACAAGGTACATAGTACACAGTGCCTATCACATAGTAGGAGCTCATTAAATATTTGCAGAAAGAAGAAATTAAAAAATAGTTTATCAGCATTCTTCTTTAACCAGTTTGGTTACAATACTCATGTGATTAATTGATAATATATGTGAAAACTGCTTTTTAATCTGTAAAGCATTATTCACATAATGTGTTATTTTGATGCTTCTATAAAAACTGGCACGCAGGGTAAAAGTGGTCTCACATTGGCCGGGCGCGGTGGCTCACGCCTGTAATCCCAGCACTTTGGGAGGCCGAGGCGGGTGGATTACGAGGTCGAGAGATTGAGACCATCCTGGTCAACATGGTGAAACCCCGTCTCTACTAAAAATACAAAAATTAGCTGGGCATGGTGGCGCATGCCTGTAATCCCAGCTACTCAGGAGGCTGAGGCAGGAGAATTGCCTGGACCCAGGAGGCGGAGGTTGCGGTGAGCCGAGATCGCGCCATTGCACTCCAGCCTGCGGAACAAGAGCGAAACTTCGTCTCAAAAAAAAAAAAAGTGGTCTCACATTATAGGGGCAGATTATTTTGTGAATTTCAGTTCACAAATTAATGTTAAACTTTTATACGAGATGCCTAATCATTCATTCATTCATTAGGCATAGTTAGGTGAGTTCCACAATGTAATATTCCTTGTCTAGTTTCCATGAAACAATTTTCAGTGTGTCCTTAGTTTGTTAACTTTATACATTTCTCGTGTGTGTTTGGTGTTTTTAATGGAAAACATTGTACAAAGTGTAGTCTATACTTGAGACTTTTAAGAAGGATAAGGACTTAAGAGCTTAAACTGTAAATAGAGGCATAAATGCATTTTTATTTTAGGGGAAATTTTTCTTTTTGAGAGATTATTTGCTTATGTAACATCTTTTTAAATTATCCATAAATATATTTTGTTAAATTCAATTTGGCCAATATTTACTGAGCTTCTCTTCAGTGTGAGACACTACTGGTTTAAGCATACAAAAATGCCTACTCTTAAAAAACTCATAGTCTACACTCAAAGGTGACTAGTTAGGGTGTGCTAAATTCTACAGTATATTTATGTACAGTTTGCCTCAAAAGCGTAGATGAAGAAGCCTGCTTCAAGATATCAGAGTTATTTACATGAGCTGACATTCACTCTGTGCTTGGAAAGATGGAGTTGAAATGTACCCTGTGGTAAAGACGAGGAAGAATGTTTAGGCAGAAAACAACATTGTAAACAAAACCATGGAAGGATGAACATAGCATGGTGTTTGGGAACTGGGGAGTGGGAACCAGGGAGGGATGTCTGTAGCCCAGGAAAAGATAAGAAGAGAGGTTGCTGTGGAAGCTGGGACACAGGTTGTAAAAGCTCTTGGGGGATCACACGATAACCCAGTGGTTCCCAGACTTGCTGGCTCATCAGAACCACCAGTGAATCTGTTTTTAAATGAGATTCCCAAACCTTGCTTTGTCCTACTGACTTAGAATCTTTGGCAGTAGAATCTAGAAAATTTTCTTAAGTTCTATAATTATTAAATGTGAGTTAACTTATTCCAGGCTATACTGCAACTAAGGGCAGAGAGTATGCTTCTCAAATCTTTTGGATGTGCAGGGTATATATATCACTGAATCTAAGTATTGTTAGGGACTTCAGAGGTCGTCTAGTCCAGTCTCATCTCTGGCTTAGACTGCTTCTCTGCTGTAATATCCTTGATGGGTAGTCATCCAGCTCTGCTGAATCATGCTCATTAGAGGAACTCACTGTTAGAGTCCTGTTAGACAGAACTAGTTACTGGTGTATTCCCTTGTATTGAGTTGAAATCTGCTCTTTATTCCACCCCCTGCTTCTAGGCAGTATCCCTCACATTGCATTCCAGATGTGATCTTATTAGTGCAGAGTAGAGCTGGAAATATTTCTTCCTTTTTCTGGACATACTATATTAATATACCGTTTTGGGCTTAGAGCACCCTAGATATTTTCCCCCCCCATATACCATGCCTAACTGGCTATTTTCTTAAACACTTATGAGTGTTAGTAAGTACCCATTACCTTAAAATAGAAAGAAGAGTGAGTAGGGATAAAAAAGTATTTCTGAGTAGTCTAAATGACCTTTTCTTAAGATAAATTTTTATTTTGTTGTTCTTTAAACAGTAACTTTCTACTTTTCCATTCTTTCCCCTGAAACAGTACTGTTATTTTAAATATTAAATCATAGTTAAAATCAGTATCAAACCTTGTTATTTTTTGAAGATAATCTTTTCAAATCACCAAGACAATTTAGCAATATTACAAAACATTTGGAAATGAGAAAAAGGGAAAACAGTACTCATAATTCTTCTACTTTTAAAAACTGCCATTCATCTGGTATAATGGTTTAGTTTCTATAGTCTTTTAATAATTTTTTTATGTCATAACCATATGTACATACAGTTTTGAATCCTGCCTTTTTCACTTAGCATTATATCATAAGCATTTTTCCAAGTTGTTATAGTCATTATAACCATCGTTTTTAATTGGCTGCATTATATTCTTTTGAATAGCTTAGTGGTGAAGAAAACAGACTGTGGAGCCAGACTGCCTGGGTTCGTATCCCAGCTCTACCACTTACTGGCTCTATGATCTTGGGCAAGTTATTTAACCTCTCTGTGTCTCAGTTTTCCCATTCTATAAAATACAAATAATGATATGCTCTACCTCATAGGGTT